TAAAACGACGAGTGTGATGCGTCGATGTCACCTCAAGCGGCCGCTTAAGTGGTCCGGATGAGTCGCGCGAATCGGAGCAAGATCAGGAAAAGAGCAATGATGCGGTGGCCGCGCACAACAACGCTTGTTCTATCGGAAGCATGTACGGGTAACCGATTCCCACACATTTATTTCAATGATTTCGTATCACCCATTAACACCATGAGCAACGGCGCCATATCGTTTGAAATAATTTTTACATTTGCTACAACCCGCCGAGGCCACTTATCGCGGCCACCGGTTACGGTATGGCGAGATGTAATTTCAGACAAATCTCAGTCACTAAAATATTTAAAATCTGAAAATAAACTATGAAGACAAACAGATCCCTGTATATTAGGATAACATTCAATCACTCAATAGTATAGAAAGGTTATTGTTCATAGCTTCATTAAAATAGGTATACACGTACATAAAGATCAGCCACAACCGTACAACCGTGTAATCCGAATGAAGGTAGGAGTGTAGGACCGTCCATACTCGTATGCTAAGTAATAGTCAACCGAACGACGATGTCGGCACTATGGGAAGACGGTACAGGTACCTAAATATATTCTAATAAGTTTATTTCAAAGAATTTGTATAAAAACATTCATCCAAGAGCAACAACACACAGCTAGATCACCAACCGCATGAGAAGATAAACACAATAATTGTTATTGTTAATTATTAAGAAGGTCAAAATACAATGCTTCGAATTTAATTTCAAACATTGAAATGAATAATTTCACGATTTTTTTCTATCATAGAATAGTTCGTCGTCAGCATGAAAATATAAATGCAGTTTGGATGGCAAAAATTTAATCTTTCTAGTTTAAACACGAAGAAACAGAAACGTCACTATCATAACACTTTTCTATCGTCATACCAGTTAAAATTAAATTAATAGTGATTTTCTTTCTGCCAAAATATAGCTAAATGATACCGTAATCTATCTAGAACAGATTAAAAGTCGATTTGGAAACACTTAAGCCGCAAAATTCAATAAAATGTAAAATGTATGTTCAAATATCACTCTACAAGTGTCAATATAAGATATATATGAAAAAAAATTTTAAAAAATCGGTTTTTTTGGGGGTCAACGAACAGTTCGTCGTTCACATGAAAATATAAACACGGTTTTTATAGTAAAAATGTAATCTTTCAGGTTTAAACTTGATGAAACAGAAAGGTCACTATCATAACCCTTTTCCATCGTTATTCCAGTTAAAATTAATTTAATAGTGATTTTCTTTCTGTCAAAATATAGCTTAACGATGCCGTAATTAACCAATTAATCCATGTCCGTATGTTCATTGTTATGCTTATATGTTAAACTTGGTTCTAGTTGATGTAACGAAAAATATTCAAGTAGTAGTTGAAAGACTTTTTTTATTAGAAGTTATTTATGCATGCCAATCGGTATTTACAATTTTATTGATATTTTAAAAGTACCCACAACAAAACAAGAAGCTCTGCAGAGGCGAAGTGTTTGGCCATACAGTTTGCTGAGTTTGAAGTTATCATAATAATTGTTGGTTTGAACGAAATGTTAAAAAAATTTTTATCAATTTAATAATCGGTAAATCTTCTTATTGTTCACTGTAAAGTAATATCGATTATTACAATATGCTACTATATATTTATTAGGGGTTTTAATTTTTATTTATATTGGTACTTCAGTATACATTTTTAGATTCTGAGTTTCTCTTAAAAATTATTTTCATGCATGTTCCGTAATGATAACAAATCTTATAACATAGATCTCTCGGTCTTTGAGTAACACTATGAGTTAATGATTACTAACTCCTAAAGTCCCAATTATTAGATGATACTTAGTAAATAGGAATAATTGATAATTTTTTTTTTATTCGATAGCCTATTTATTGCGAAACATACATAACGACCAAAACAAGCTTGATCGTAGTTTGAAACCATATTTTGTATATAATTCTGATATGGTTTTCCCTTTTTTGTGTTTTTGTCCTCAAGTTTTTGATGGTTTCCCCCATAGTTTTTCAAAATCTGTTCTAGACTTGAAATATTCATGATTAAATGATTAATATAATATACTAAATCTAATGCAGCAATGTGTTTACACTTTTGTCTTTTGCCCAGCACCAGCTGACATTCTGCAATTTGTAACTTTTCTGCTTGAGTCCTGCTTATTTTATATTAAAAAAAAATTGTAAGTTTTATAAATAAGAAAGAATATCTAATATTATAATTTATATTAACCATAGGTATTGCTTACTTCAAGCTTACTTTGTATGGTGGATTACTAACTGATGCTTGTCTAATTACACATGTTTTAATAAATGAAATGCCATCATGATTACTTCAGTACAGTTAATTGCATGTCCACTGACCACAGTTTACAAGTTCATACCCTTTTTAATATTTAGTACAGATCCATATTGTATCAGTATGGTTTGAAAACCACAAGTTATGATAATTTCTGGATTAAAAGTCGTTGTTTTAAAAAATAGAGACTAAATCCTAGAATACATTTTGTAATTAGATTATATTACATTTGTTTGTTTTGCACAATTATGATTCATATTATAATAGCAAACAAAAGTTTATTAAATACATAGTGTATTCTTATAATCAACTAAAATACCGCATTTAATAGATTATCCATAACCTGGTTCTCAAAGTATATATATTATTACGCAATAATAATATTAATTGATTGATTAAGTATAAATAAATAATGAAAACATCAACAATGTATAAATTAATATGTTTATGACCATACACACCTATATTTTAATGCTCCCTCTCATTAGTACAAAATTAGTTCATTTTGCACACTATAGTATTCTGCTGGAAAATCGTCCGTAGGGCATTATAAGATTACAATATTATTATTTCAATTGTCTTCATAATAATTTTTAATACTGAAATCTAAATTACCATCATTCAGTACCTATAAAACATATTTTTTAATAAACCTTATAGGTATATTTTTTTTTTTTGATTTCATTCATATATATTTTGTATATTTAAAAATTCATATTATCGAGTATTCGATAGTCAATACAACCACTTGTAAGGGATTTTAAATAGGCAATCACAAGAACTATTTTTTGAAAAAATGAAAATAGTATAACAGTTTAGGTAATATTATATATTTATTTATCTTTTTTATAAAGATGAAAAACGTATTTTTTTCTAGACTTTTTAACTTCCTATGTATAAAATGTATTTTTGAAAAAACAACATACAGCAATTTCATAAAAAAAATACATAATATTTACAAGCATTGTAACACTGGACAAAAGTGTATAAAAAAAAATATAACAAAGATGTGGTTTATCTGTTTCTGATAATACAAAATGATACATCTTTGAATCACAACCAATTAAAACAAAAACAAATGTCTGAAACAAAAATTGAATTGTCTATAGTGGATTTACAAGTTTAAAGTGGCTTCTATACACTATGTCATTACTTCTATTGGGTTGGTGTGTGCTTATAAAACAATTAATAGAAACAGTACTGCCTTTAACATTTCAAACATTGTTCAGCAAATAATTATAACAAAACTATTGAATTTTCATCATAATTATCCAATAGATGAGAATGTTGTTGGAAATGTTTTTTTTCAAAATTTCAACCAAGCAGTTCTGTAAAATTGAACTGAGTACTTGAAAAAAAACAACTGATGTTTATCAATTTTAATTATCTAAATTTTATTTAAGTGTTAATAATTATTAAAAAAATCACTACACATTAAATTAAACTATTGAGATCTTTTCTATTTATGACAAAGAATTTATCATGCAATAATAACAAATATGTAGATATTGACAATGTAGCTGTATGACTTATGGGTAAATACATATTATATTTCGAGATAGGGTTTTACAATTACATGTGTAAATGAGAGTATGTCATTGAGTTTAGTTTATCATATTATTTAAAAATGTAATACATTATTATAAAAATTGTATATTTTAAATATATTTATCATATTATACCATTTATACCTATTAATATTAATAATTTTCTCAGACAAAATATTTCATGGCAATAGGACCATCAAATTGGATCAAATAGTAACTTTAATAACAATCTAACCATTCTTAACAATCTAAATGTTCTCTGCTAAACATTCATCAACAATTTATTTTTGTTAACAAAATATAAATTATAAGTTCATACTTCATAGCTTATCTTGGTTTCCGTCATAAATTATATCATGTCAAAGTATCACCAAAATTCTTTTTTTAAAATAGTTTTAAAAAGTACAAATTGTAGAGCTTGAGTAAATATAAAAACACTTTTTTCAATGTACTCATAAAATGCAACTGTCAAAATTTTTTCAGCGATATCCATTTGGATTTTGTGTATATATAAAAGTATAAAAAGATATTTAATTAATTTTGTTTAATTGCATTGGACTATTTTTAATTGATAGTTTGGAGAATTTTATAGATTATAGATTGCATTTTATGTGAAATTAGGTACAGTTAGAAAACTGATGTTATGTGATCAACGTATTTGGTTTTATCATTAATTATAATTTTTACAATTTTAAAATAGAATCATATAAAGCATAATATCAATTGACTTGATCAATATTAAATTTAAAATTTATAAAAACACATAGAGCAAAATGGAGCTTAACACGTTCAATAAATCTAAATCTACAGTGTTGTGACAAAACACAATATCCCAAGAAACGAGAAGATATGAACTTCAGCATCATCGGTGGTGATAAAATAATTTCTTTACACTCGATATATAATTTTAAAAAAGTCACAAATTACTTTATTTGTTATAACTTATAATTATTATAGTTATATATAATATAATATATAAAAAAAAACATAATCATAATGTTTGGAAATTAATGTACAATAAAAAGATAAATGTTGTTGAAGACTTAGGCAGCAAAAATAATAATAATAATAATCATAATCACTGTACCATGTAACATAACTTTGTGATATGAAGAAAAAAATGTAAACATATTACAATATATCATTATGTATTTATTATATAGATATATAAATTAAGCACCATTTACGATACTATTGCAACAAAGACAATATCAGAACTGCAATATTATGTTTGTAATACCATTAAAAATAAACATAATATAGTATAAAGGTATATAAACACTTATGATTATTCATATTAACACAAAAAAAAAAAAAAATAATAAAAATACAGTCTTTTTAGTAACATATTATTCGTAGAAAGAAAAATTAATAAATTAACGCAAAACACAGGTGTGGAGGAAGACGCTGTGCGCCATGTTTGCCTCCTTTGGACGACTGTGGTGACACTAACAAAAAAAAAAACAATTAGACCGAGGCTTTACTATGGGACTTTGCTACAATGTTTCAATGAAAGGTTGTTTAAATGGACCCACTGATCAATAAGCCAACATTATTGTTGCTAAAAAAAAACTGACAATATAATAAAATTTTGCACAAAAATATTGGAATAGATATCTTGGATATATGCCATTTAGAACTGTATAGACATAATATTTTATTTAATTAAATAATATAGTTAAGTATTAAAATATTTAATTTCATGGCTAAATTGAAACCCATTATAGAAATAAACAGATGTACTCTATTTTAGCGATGAACATAATGATAATATTATGACAACTTCCATTAAAAACAACAAGCTCAATCGGGGGAGCTGAAATAAATACAATTACGGTTATGCGCTTTCGATGCAACCTGCTCGATTGTGTGAGAACGCATAGCATGACCCCAGGGCCTCGGCCGCCAAAGAAATACGGTTTAATTTTTCCAATATTGACTACAACGGTATTACTACAATATATTACTATAAACCGATCGAATTAAAACCGATCTCTAACAATATTACACAATTCGGTTGCACAAAATAATAAAATAAATAATATATGAGTAGGTATAGTACACGAAGCGACAAAACGGCTCTACAGACGGAAACGACTAACAACGACTAACGATATCGCGTCGGGCCGAATATGCGACGAAAACGAAAAAGCGAATGAGAAAAACGAATGGAATGAGTACGGGGCAACGGTACTCATCGTTACGAGACGACGGTGGTGAGTTGCGTCTTCTCGGACCTCGGGGGCGGCGGAGGAGGCGGTCTTTTGTTGATCTTGTTGGTGGGCCGGAGATGCTGGGCCGTCAGCTGTTGCGGCGGCGGTGGTGGCGGTGGTGATGAACATGCGGCCGAGCCCGGAGCGGGCTGCTGCTTGGGGTACACATTTTCGTACAGGTTGTTGGGCCCGTAGTGTTCGGCCACCCAGTTGCTGACGTTGGCCTCGCGGCTGTACGCGTTGTTGTTGCCGGCTGCACCACCGTCGGCGAACTGCACCTGAAGCCCGTGCGCCGGGTCCCGGAACCCGAGCACTTCATGCGGGGTGGCCTTCGTGTCGAGCTTGCACTTTTGCGCCACTTGCCACTTCTTGCAGACGACCCGGTGCAAGTCGGCCAGGAATGCTGTGCTGGGCGGCGAAAGAAGCTTGGGTGGTGGGGGTGGCACTGCGTTTATCAGTTCGTCTTCGTCTTCATGGTCGACATCGGCATCGTGGTCGACCAGCAGTTCAGGGGGCGGAGGCGGCAACGATTCCAGACTGGGCGTCCGGCGGTGCTGCATGTGATGGTGGTACTGTTGTTGGTGGTGGTACTGTTGGTACTGCATTTGCTGGTGGTGCTGGTACGGCTGCTGGTGGTGGTCGGCAAACTTAACCGACTTGACGGGTTTTTGTTGATTAGCGGCCGCAGTGGCAGCGGCGAACGCCGTTGCCGCCGACGTTTCCGTCACGGAACAGGTGAGCTGACGCGTGGTGGCCGTCAGCGGCAGTTTGGGCGGCTTTCGCTTGATGGTGCCACAAGGCGGGTAGTCGGACTCAAACGCCACGTCACAACCGGACGACGAACCTCCGGAGTCCGACGACAGTCCGCTCTCGGTGTCGTCCAGCATCATGGCGGCAGCGGTGACGGCGACATCGTCGTCGAGTCCCACGGACCCACGTCCCACCGTCCCTCGTCCCATTATCGAACCATTGCGGCGCAGGGACGTCCCGGACGACGACGACGGCGCCGGCGACATGGACGAAGTTTGCGACGGGTCACCACCATCCCCACCGGCCAGAGCCGACTCGTAGTTGTCGAGCAGCTGTTGTCCGTACTTGACGATCCGTATGGCCGACATCCACTTTTGCAGCGTCCGCTCGTCCTCGGCACACACGTACTTTATGTACTTGGTGGACTTGGGCTGCTGCAGACACGGGTGTTTGATGGCGAAACAGTGTTCGGTCGGTGCTTTGTACTTCTTCCGCCAGCCAACGCCGTAGTACACCTGGTTAACGTCGAACGTGGCCAGGCAAACGAGGTCCTTCGGCGATCGCGACGCCTTGTCCTTGTAATAGTACAACCCCGAAGCCCTTAACACGCTGTGGTATTTCTTCCAACCCTTCCTCGTATCCGTTTTGATGTACAGCGGTCCCTCGACGCTCGGAAGTCCGCCGTTGCAAAAGTATTCCTGTAAAACAAAACGGTGAGGTTCAGTACAATTTAAGGTCAGGTTAAATTATTTGTGTAGTGGTATGCCTGGTTACTGATAAATGTATATACAGGTATAGCTTAAGGCTGCGATCTTACGGGCGAAAATACCATAATTAGATGCTTAAATATAATCGAAAACAACGTTCTGCAACACGAGTTGTGGCTCGTATCAGATCACAGCCTATAGATTAGGCGGGTCAGGGTAATCGATTGGTCTTATCGTTAATTTATTACAAATCGCTTAAAATAATTAAATATTTTTTTTTGTTTTTCAACTGTTATCACCCGTGGTAAATTTATTATAATGTAAATGATTATTTCTTTTCTTCCATCCGAAGCAGTTGTAACCAAACAATAATAATGATTGTTTCTAGAATATTATGGTTAGGTTTTAAATAATGTGCAGTATTTCGTGTACTTACTTGTGCAAAGTTACTAGTCGCGTGGCTAAGCGACTGATTGCTGGTATTGAACAAGGACGGATTTTCGAATATTAACGTCCTCTCGGGCCGCTCGACGAACAATAAACGGTTCTTGGAATCTCTGGTCCACAGCATTAGATTATCTACCAGCAACTCGTGTTCTTCGTAAACGCGTTCTAAAAAAAATAAAATAAAAACGAATAGAAAAAAGAAAAAAAACGGAAATCTAACACGTGTTGCAAAAGTATGGATTTAGTTTTTTTTCGTCAACATACCCATATGAAGGTCGGGCAGATGTTCGACGAGCCCCCAGCGCGGTCCGAGATTAATGTGATGTTTGTCGGCTAACAATCGCATCACATAACTACAACGCATACCCTCGTCGACCAGTAACGATTTCGCTCCACCGTCGTCGTTGAACACTTTGATGAATAGTTTCTTCACACTGGCCTCCTTCATTTTTTGTAGGGCCAGACGGATTTTCTCCGCTTTAGACGACTCCTGCGAACACAACACGAATAACAATCATTATTAAAACGATTCCGTCGACGCGGCACAAAGCGAAGCGTAATAATAATAATATATATTGTAGTAATAATAATCGATAATATCGACTATAATACTACCGTAATACACAGTCGGATGACAGTTTACGATAATATGTGATATGCTTGATAGGCATTAATATCGGTAACGACAGTAAAAAAAAATAAAAAGATTAACTGCGTACAATTATAATTATAATAATAATAATATTACATACTTTGTTTCCCGCAGAGTGATTGGTAGTGCCGCTCGAAGCTGAACTCTCGCTGCTCGACAACAACGATACGCAATCGGAAAACGCGGAATCATTGTCCGGACTATCTGTCCTCACTAGAAAATTACAATTTATTTATAACGCTTTGATTCATATATAATGTATATATATATATAACATGTGCAATGTGTATTGTGTAGACCTACGCGGTGCCGTGAAGATTGGAAGGAATATTATGTTAAAGGAAAAATAAAAAGGGAAAAGTGAAATCGGACCGACATGAGATTTACACGTACTAGGGATTCCCCGATTTTAACTATATAACATTTATCAGATTTGGGTAAAGTCCAAAGAATTGGGCTTACCACTCAGTTTTAAACGTATATGCAGACCGAATGTCACGAACCTTCTTTGATTCATTACCATTTGAACCACGGCCAAAAACGACACCATGATTGTGGACCGGAGTATAGTATAGAATAGTGGTGGCGTAACAACCGTATTGGCCAGGTGCCTCTTTTCTGATATTGACCCTTCCCAGACGACGTATTATTATTATTATTATTATTATTATTATTATTGGAACGGTAACGGTATTATGAGTTATAATAATAATGGGCAATATGGGCTCATACCTACATGGCAGTATATATAGACATTATAGGTATACATTATACCGAGAGACGGGGAAAAAAAAATTTGTAAAGAAAAGATTTTTGTGATTTGCCGCACAATTGGAAAACCCGAAATGTCTACCGGCGTATTATAATAACAACGATAAGGGGTTGTTGTCGTTGTTGTCTGCGTATGAATAAGTCGCGGTGAAACACAATAACAGAATATATTCAAATCATGTATGACGGTGTTTACCTGTTCCCGTTTGATTTGAATTTGACAGCATCCTGTTTATTGAATTGTAATCTGTGATAAACAATTGAATGTCATTATTATTGTCATCTATATTTTCATAATGCATTACATTAACGCGAAAACCTGAGAGCGATTTACGTACCTATTTTTTCCGAATCCAATAGACTGTTCGTGCTCTGGTATTGGGATTCTAACGCGCACAACTCACCCAACACGGCGTCTAAGTCTACGTCTTGAGTATCTGAAACGCGAAAAATCAAATGAAAATCATTATTAAACACTGTTTTGTATATTTTCATACAGCGACCCGCATCCGACGGTATCGCGTTTAACTTTTTTTGTCGGCTCACCTTCTAAATTCGCCATCGAGAATCTATAAGAATCCATCCGCTGACCAGCAATGTCCGTGGCGTTGGGCGCTTTCAAAATGACATTGTCGACTGGCTTGGACGGGCTCTTGTCCAAACTCTACAAAACAAAAACAGACGAAAATGTTGTTATTACGATAATAGAAAAAAAAACCCATCAGTCGAACGTAATCGAACAAATATTCTAAATACAGGTAGGTATGCGTGTGCAGCGCGGTACGTCTTCGATTTGTGCGCTCACTCGAGCAACCTGCATGTGAGTGCGAAGGGGTGGCTACAACCCTCAGACTTTTTCAGTTTTCATATTATAAATAATATATTATTACTATATGTCTAGTCCGTGTTCGTGCGACGTCAAAACTTCTTTACAAACGCGACTGCTCCCCCTCACGGCCGAAGAACGAATCCACCCCCAGGTTCGTATTATATTCTACGAAAATCCTACCTACAAACGCACACTGCAGCACACACGGTTGAAATACGACGTTTTTCAATTATTTTTCCGATACGATGTTTATTATTATTATTCGCTGCTGTTTCTCGTGCACGCAAAATCTCGTCGACGTTTGCAGGTTTTAAAATATTATAATCTATCGTCACTACGTAACACGATAATATATTATACACTTATAACCATGCGCACACACGTTCCGATATTATTATTATTATTATTATTTCGACGCCAAGCGCCCCAAGTTTTACATTTTTATGACGACGACGAGGCGGTGGCGTTTATACTGTGAATGACGATAGTTAAAAAATCATAGTAATTCTCGAACACATAATATATCATAACACGCAGTTAAAAAACTGAACCGCATACACGTCATAATAGTATATTGCTCACGCGATTTTTTGATCAATTTATCGTACTCGTCGGCGGCTTGTTGATAATAAAGACGACGACGACGACGACGACGACGAGCGAGGTGCTAAACGGACCAGCGTTTATATTATCGTATAATAAGTATCGGCTCGACGGTTGCTGAACAACTCGTTAGTTATAAAAAAAGAAAAAAAAACGTTTACTCGTTAATATAACTCAACCCCGCACACACGTAATATGCATATTATAATACGCGGTACACGGCATATAGACGCCGCCGCGGTCGTTTTAATATGAAAATAAAAAACATTATGTTTTCAATTAAAAACGAAACAATGATCCCCGCACATAACGCGCATTGTGTTAGGTCAACTGTCTCGATTATTATTATGCGTTTTTTAAGACTCGAAAGCCTATGTATAATATTTTAAACGCACCATTGTTCTTCGCGTTCCTCTGTAATAATAATATATTCCGTATTACGATGATTGTTATTATTATCATATGCGTATACGCGATGCATAGTAATAAGTAAAAAGTCTGCCCGTCCGTTAAAAAAAAAACCACCCAATATTCGACTAATTAGTTCGTGAGTATATTATACAATATTTTCAATATATTAATATCGCCATCGAAAGACCGACTGAGGATACACAATAATATAATACAATAACGACTATGTACGGGATTGCGTCGTTTTTTGATGGATTTGCGTTCACAAAGAATATGAGCACCGAAAAAGCAGTTCTCCCAGACGCACATCGAGCAGTGGCGGAGGCCGCTCAGGTAATTTTTACTGAAATTTGACAACATCTGCCAACGGCCATGGTTATTATTGACAGCCGACGCCGCTGTCGTTGTATATTTAATTTTAATGTAAATCTATTATTATAAAAATAATATTCATTTGTAAGTGTCAATCATCTAATTATAAAAATAATATTTAAATAATACTATTTTTTAAAGTCAATCTGACTGGTAATTATTTTTGAAATAAAACATTTCAATTAATTATTGGTTAGTCTTGGATTTTCCGGTGAGCTATATGGGATTTACTTTTTTTACTGCGGTGGTTGTAAAAATAGGTATATTTGTATTTATAATTGGATGCTCATCCGTCATCGACATACAACTCTCGAGACTACAGCATACAAATTCCAACCACCCTAGATATTACTTCTGCGGAAATCGTTCTTTTTCATGACCACTCCCACTTAAGCCCTCATAAAGCCACAAATCAGCCTAAATGCAATACGCACAGAATACTCCGATGGGCTCTTATTACATTAATTTTTATCCAGCTTAATTTCTACCAAGGTTGTTAATTTAGTTTAATATTATGCAATTGGTACATATATATTTCATTAAACATTCTTTTAATCGTATCAATGTTTCTAAATAATCTTATCAAAATTATCTCTCTACTCGTATATATGTGCACGAATTCCACGTTTAAATGTAGGTAAATAATAACAATATACAAGCGACGAGATTCATAAAACGTAAATTATATTATAGGTAACAGGTAGATGCTCGTCCCGCGACGCGTCGAATATAATATGATTTCATTTCATTTTCAGTCGAATACCATATTATATTAACCTACAATACGCGTTCGGCAATGAGGAACCACCAGCTACTATAAAATATAATATACGTGCTCTCGTGTCGTATAATATAGGACCACAACAGCAACAACCATAATCATAATAATAATAATAACAACAACAATGTAATTGTCACAACTATAATTATTTAAAAACAACGGAGAGCACGCAATAGGCGTGGTGCCCACCATCAAAGTGTAGGCACTATAATAGGTACACTGTATTATTATTATTATTATCACGATCATTGCTATCGAAACGAATTTAAACGAAAAGGAAAAGAGCGGTGTACGTTATGTGCTCACTTTTCTCGTATGTGCCTTGTCCGCAAAACAGTGGGTTGATATAATGATAAAAAAAAAAATAATGATAATGACAGCAACACCACTTAAAGACGGTAAGTCGATAATAATAATAATGATACGCAATATTACAGCGAGACGATTTTTACGACAAGACTCCAAGACGAAAACTGTAGATGACCGACAATACATAATATGGGCAATTTATTGGCCTCGAGCTCAAGGTACTTACGGTGGGAGCGACCGCGGTCGGAGTGGTTTCCGGGCGATTAGTTGTCTTGTGAACGTCGACGATGACCCGGCTGGTGTGAAGAGTCGTCATCGGTGGCGCAATATCGCTGCAGTTATTAATGACACGTCGTTCGTCTAGCGACGAAGGCGGAAGCGTAAAAACACGTTCGTTTGCAGGCGGCGAGAAAAAGCGTTCGTTTGCCGGCGGCAAGGGTGGTGAGAAAACGAGTTTGTTTGCGGGCGGCAAGGGCCGCGTGAAAACGTGCTCGCCGGGCAACGGCATGCGTTGACGCTGAGCGATCATCTGGGCCACGTCCCTCCGGGTGGTGGAAAAACTGGAGGCCCGACGCACGGCCACCGAATAGCACGGGGGCGGAGGTCGGAAGCTGCTTCGACGCCTGATCGGCGACGGCGGTGACGGTGGCGACCTGTGCACGCCGGAAAAGCTGACCGTCCGCTTGACGGGCGCGCGCCGGCGCACCGAACTCGCCGCGCTCGACAGCCGCGTCTTCAGTATCGGCTTGTAGCCGAACGTCAGGTTGCCGTAAATGTGATAGTCGCCTTCGTCGGAGTACGACGACGACTGGCCTCCGCCCACCGCCGTAGCAGCGGCCCTGGTTTTGTTGCCCACGGCCCCAAAGCCGTAGCTGCCATCCTCGTCGCTGTCGCTGTGCTGCTGCTGCTGGCTCCGGCCGCACGCGTACCGAGTCTTGCACGAAAACATGAAGACGGTGATGAGTCGTCCGCGGACGTCGGTCGAGAACTGATTCCGGGTCTCGAGATGGGTGGCCGGTCGTCGGATAGCGACGACCGGGTGTCCCGGGACTGGAGCAGCTGCTGCCGGGCGCTGTACGATCGGGTCCGCCAGGTGCAATCTCGAAGAGACCGCGTGCTTGTGCGTGTGTGCGCGCCCAACACATGTCCCGCCCTTGTCTCTACGTAATACAATATACCCGGCCGCGGCTCGACAGAGAGACGTCGAGATACAGATATCCAGCAGCGATTCGGAGAGAGAGAGAGCGAGAGAGCGAGAGAGCGAGAGAGCGAGAGAGAGAGAGGAGCGAGACGCGCGACCGTACATACAGGCGACCGATGATCGGCGGCAGATGTTCTCGCTGCAGCGAGTAATAATAATAATAATAATACATAATAATATTCGAAATCCGATTCTCGCCCGACACCGAAACTCGTTTACGTTCGTGTTGTTTATGTACCTACGCGTGTATACATCTATATATATATATGTACTTCTGTATATATATATGTACGTTTTAATATAAGATATATATATAACATACGTATATACACTACCATTATTGTAGTTTACGTGCGCCAGTACCTGCGGTTTTTTTCCACCGTATTTGTTATTACTTATTATCATCGTCGTCGTCGTCGTACCCGACATTATTCGCCCTCCTGGGCACGTTACACACACGCGCACGGATTTCGATAAACAACAAATCTCGAAAAGTGTGTTTTTTTATTTTTATTTTTGCGATTCGGCACCGCCATATGGCAGGCCAGACGGCGGCGGCGGCCGTGTGGCCGTCGTCGTCGGCTATATATTATTATTTTTTTTACGTTTTTTTATTTCAAACGTAGAGATAGGTACACGAGAATTAATAAGACTCGTGTACGCAGGCGCCATCGGCCGTCGCAATGTCGGACACCGCAAACGCAATGATAACGCTCGCGCAGAGGACGACTGCCACACACGATAAACCAGTCGGACTTGCACACACGCTATTGTGATTTGTGCGACCGTGTGGGCATAATAATAATAATATGTGTACAAACACTGCACGCAGCGGCGTATGATAAATATCATCATCATCATCATCATCATCTTTATTGTTATTGCAGGTATGTGCAGACTCGCGTGTCGGCGACGACTTTCCGCGATAGCGCGGCGAAAACGCAATCGTGTGGTACACAACAATCGTTATTATACGACTATATTGTAATATTACAGCATAATAATACATTGAGTGGACCCTCGGTGTGGTGACGACGGCGGCGTAAGGGAATGTCGCAGTTTACGCTGAGGCCGATACGAAAATAATTATAAGCAAGGCGCGTGCGAAAACCGGAAAACCGTGGTCATCGATAAGTGCTGTGGCAGTAGTGAGTGCCGATAACCACTCTATTTACGCACACAATGAGACACATATACAATATATCATTATAATATAATGTATCGTATAATATAATGGACACGGTCACGCGAATGAGATAAGAGGAAATACGTCAAGTTAGTTCTTCTGTGTGACGCGTGTGTTGTAGCCTTGGTTTTTCCCGATTGAACTGTTCATATGGAAAAATATTAAGTTTAGAATTTGAAATAATAATCAAAAAATTGTTCAAAACAAAAAGATACCTAAAATAATGAAAACTTATTAAGAAAATTGGAAAAAAACCCAAAATGTACTACTACTACAAATAGAAACGCCGATGAATAAAGTGGGTAATCCGTGTAGTAAAGTCTGATCTACTTTGACCAATCGAGAAAAGTGAAAAAGAACTGTTTTGAGTCTACCGCTGGATATAGAAGAGCGGCGTCCAAGTGTGATAGATAGTGGTTCTTATTTCAAACTAGAATGCTTAACAGTTGTTAGTATGCCCTTGATATCGAAAGCCAGAGCTTGGAGTTATGAACGATCAAAAATATTAATACCTAATGTCGAGAGAATAAAAGCTTGATAAGGCATAAAAAAACAAGGCATGACCCGACTAGAGAAATTCAAAGTGTTTGTCGGTACAGCAACCCAAGAATAAGAGATCCAGGCTTCTCAGCGAAGACACTCAGCACAATCAAAGATATGCTGATTCGATTGTGGTGAATTTATATACACAACGCAGTGCATGCGTCTTCAAATAGACTATAATGGTGTAAATACAACTACTATAGATTCATTTGAATCTGATTTGAATGTCACATTATTCAACAAATTCAAAACAATTTAACCGACGACAATAGTAATATAGGTACCAAATATGAGTGTATGTAGAAATTATTGATAATGACGAGGATTCCGATCAATTGAAAACCAATCAATTGAAATCATGATTTTGGTATTATGGATGTATCATACATATTTATATACGTAAATTGTACAGTGTACACCAAATATCAATAAAAGCACTTTATTTCCTGGCCATAGTTTTATTTATTTGAAAGATGACATTTTAATAAAGCGTAGATACACTGGAGATAGACAGTGGAATAAAATTTCAGCAAAACCAAAAGTTTTGTTTCTATCGAACAACAGATCACTGGGCCTTGATTTATATTTGTCAGTTGTCGATATTCCAATGAAACAAGTATTTAAATTTTATTAATATGAATTCAAAACTAACGAATAAAAATGATTTTTACAATTATTCGCTTCTAGAGACAGCTGTAGGTATGCATTTATAAAATACATTTTTAATTAATTGTTTTAATATACCAAATATTTTTACAAAATTAATAATTAAAATAATAAATGTGCTTACTGAAGGATGAGAAACATAAGAATTAAATATTTTATTGTTTACTTTTACGGTTTTGTATTTTTTAATGACGAGTAAGGGCCTTTTGATTTCGGTGGATTTTCTGAGACTACTAAACTCTAGTTATACGGTCGTAAAGTGCAACTCCGCACTCGGTTTATTTTATCGTTGTTTTGTTTACTGTATTTGGCAAATTTTTACTAATTACCCTAATGTAACAAAAACCTAAATAACATAAGGTAATGCTGCAAAAATGTAAATGATAAAATAAACTTAATTGACTACAAGTTTGTTGTTTAATACAGTAAACTCATAATTATTATACTAACAATAGTAGCTCATCAGCACTAAGCAATAAAGTTTTTAGTATAGGTTTTATACTAAAAGGTAAAGGCTAAAGGGCCGGTTTTAATAGGTTTTAAGACTCCGATTCTACATCATTATTGGTTGCTACGGACAGTTGGGATGGACGAATACGACAATTTCCATCCTTTGAAATAACTCCATAAGATATCATCATCGTAAATTGCAGTAAATAGCACTTATATATTATTAAAACCCACGACTACGAGGCTAATATTAAATTTCATCAAAAGTTATAAAGTGTTGATATTATACTATTTAAAATAGTCTTAATAACATGTTTCGTGGGACTAGCACGTCTTAAATAATGCACTTATATGACTATTTATTTTTATATCTACAAACGCATAAACTTAATTGACGTATATGTATACATATATTAAATTTCTGGGACACATAAAATGACGGCCATGGTTTTATGTCTCCGGAATGCAAAATATAGTAGTCATTGTCTCTACTCTATTCATTAGTCGATATTTCTTCAACATTATTATGCGTATCATAACTTTACAAACTATATCGTATAGTTTTAAAAAGAAAAACACTTTTTCCAGCAGTAAAAGTGTTCTAAATTTGTAACTTGCCATTGACCAACTGCCGACCTTTTCGACACGTACAATCGTATATAGACGAAGTTTCGAAAAACTGCTGCAAAGAAAATAATGCATGCGTCAGTACGTTCGTACTATAATCTTGGTTTTCTGAGTTTGAACTCTGTTTTTCGAATGTGACATAGGAAGTCACACCCTTCACGTTAAATTGTAGACATATTATGCTACACCACTATCCTCGCAGTGCGGAGGTGAGCGAAGCGAGTGAATTATACATTTTATTTCAAGTACAATATTCCGACAAACCTTATTATAATAATCGTTAAAATCGAAACCAGTTATTAGGAAACCGTTAGATACATACTTTCTACCCGTAATATATAGATAATCAGTAAATTCAATGTGTGGCAGTTAAACGGAGCTGAATTTTAATTGAATGTTTATAGAACACCACTAGACAATTTGATATGCCTTAACCTTACTTTAATGATATATTTATGAATCGCCAAGTGTGCATTGAGTGCGAGCAGTACATAACACAACGTTGCGCCACCGCCGGTATTTCATTGTCGTGTTCATAATCAAAAAGAAATAAAATTGCCGTAACATTATATACACTGCTCCAGTCTGAGAGAGCCAAGGGAGGGACGGACGTCTTAAACATATACTTATGGGTATTTCGGGGTCTTTGTAAACGACGCTGCAAATACAAATTTATGTTTTTCGAGACCAAGTTCATAATGTCACGCTGAGAACCATATAATATTATTGTACAGAGGGTGATCTCGTAACCTCGGGATGTGCCACATATGTCTATATTATATTCGGCCAAAAAACGGCGAACAATATATAACCAGTAATGCATAAAAGTATAATGTACACTATCAGCATTGTATACAATATTGTGTAGTTCGATGTTAACAAGAACAGAACAGAATTATTAACGCCAAAAAACGAAAAGGCGAGCACACATAATTCATATTATATCATGTATGTAATTCAAATACGTATTTCCTCTATATTATGCGTATTTGCGTATAAATTATTATTAATAATTTGTTTTCGTACTTAAAATTTGTGTTTTTTGTAATGTTGTAATTTTTTTTAAATTAATATTAACCCTTTTTGCATACATATGTTTGTACAAATAGGTACATCTAATGTATTTCAAGGCAAATAATTACATATTTTGATGCAATTTTGGTCATTAACATCCAAGCTTTAATTATTAGTCATATAGTATATACCTATTATAATATTATGAACGCGTATCCGAATAAAACGAAGTCGAATAATACAATATATTACTAAAATGTAT